GGAGCCTTAACGAGCCGAGCAGAGCCACACTCGTTTAATTTAACAGCACTAATTGCATAAACACTCTAATGGTGGATTACGAGACTCCGATCCGATGACCTCCATTCGATACGGCCGAACCTGAGATTTACGGCTAATTGAGCGAAACTGGTCTTAACAAAAACTTGGAGGTCGGGAGGAATTCAACAACATCTGAAAATGGAGAATTTGTTCAAATCCAACCTCCTATCTCTTTCGGTAATTCTACTCTTCTTCTGCAATGCGATCTCGTCAAGTGCGTCCAGTTCTTCTTCCACAACCATGCACACGAACAATTGGGCAGTGCTTGTCTGCACATCCCGCTTCTGGTAGCAGCCCTCTTTGCCCCAATTTTTTTTTTTTCATTTTTTTTTTCAATTGGCTTGTTTACTTTCTTGATTACTTTTGTAACCATTTGAGTAAATTTGGTGACCGGATTTTGGAATGACATGACGGGCTGCAAAATTTTTATGTACTCTTTCTTTTTATCTCTCAAGTTCTGTGTTTTGAGGTAAGTAATCGCAACCCGGATATTCGATTCAGATTGTATATCGTAAATAGTCGGTAATTCTGTTCAGGGGCTTGCTTTCATCAGCTTTGGGAATTTCTGGATCTGTTAAAGATATAATTTACATATGTTATGTATTTAGTACATAATAACTATACTGTCATTGCTATGTGGTGTTTGTGTGTGTGTGTGTGTGTGTGTGTGTGTGTGTGTGTGTGTGTGTGTGTGTGTGTGATTTTGAGTGTGTTGTGTAATGTGTACCAAATTGTTAATGTTGGTGTAGTGACCAGGCGATGACCTAAAATACAAATGACCAGGCTTCATATGTTTCTCTGAGTGATGAAAAAATCAATTATTAGCTCTTATGTGACTGGGATGTATTATTACTTACTTTCTTGCATCATATTCTGATTTCGATATTCTAAATTTGCCCTCCAGGTTTAATTATCGGCACATGGCTAATACTTTATCCTTGTACAGGTAAAAAAAAAAATATAACTGGATATATTTGACATTCCCTATCTGTCTTTAATGAATTGTTGGCTTCTTAGAGAATAAAATGTTATTATGATTTCATTCTTTCTTATGCTTTGTTTATAGAACTGTTAAGCGACTAGGGATACCTGATGAGAGGATTATTCTTATGTTGGCTGATGATATGGCTTGTAATTCTCGGAACAAGTATCCTGCACAGGTCTTCAACAATGAAAACCACCGTCTGAATTTGTATGGTGATAATGTTGAGGTGGGTTTAAGAACATTGTTTTTCAAATTTCTTTCAGTGTACCAGCTATGGTGTGGTGTTGTGGTTATCACTTGTACTGTTCAGACATGAAATATTGTGGAGATGAGTGATATCTCATAATAATGTTGAAGCTACTAATTCCTATATAACTACGAACAAGAATATTGTCGAATTTACTGATAAAGAGTATTCTCATTTACATTTGATTTAGCTGACTTTTCTCCTTTTCCATTCTTCTGAGTTTGCATTGGTCCCCTGCACAACCCTCATTATTGGTGAAAATCATTCAATATGCTGCTGTTGGATCTCAAAAGGGTGCAGTTTTGTTACTCAATCTAATGTATTCCAAGTATCATGAGAGTTACTAATGTTATTGTTCTTTCATATTAGTGTTTGGAGAAATTTCCCGTTGCCCTCACTATTTGCAAATTACCATATTCATGTGAATCGACATACATCTTTGCTCAAACCATTTGGGGAAATTTCCCATTGCCCTGACTATTTGCAAATTATCATTTTCAAGTGAATCGACTAGGTCCCATTCTTCGACCCTTTCCCCGAAGTCGATGACTATTCATCTTTGCTCAAACCATTTAATTTTAATTGTGCTTAGAGTCCACATAATTTATCTTATAGGCCATGTAAGTTCTTATTGTACTTGTGATTTCCAGTAATTCGTTCTCTTGTGCTCCAAATCCATTTCTGATTATGTCATGTCCCAAATTAGGTAGATTACCGAGGTTATGAAGTGACTGTTGAAAATTTTTTGCGAGTATTAACCGGCCGTCATGAATCAGCAGTCCCAAGGTCAAAACGACTTTTGAGTGATGAAGGCAGTCATATACTTCTTTACATGACTGGGCATGGAGGGGATGAGTTTCTCAAATTTCAGGACTCAGAGGAACTTCAGAGCCATGATTTAGCAGATGCGGTGAAACAAATGAAGGAAAAGCAAAGGTGTCTGCTTACCTTGGAATTATGAGTATTTTTATCTTGTTTTATGCGTATATTTTATAAAAAATGCCTATAAGGCCGTAAAACATAAGAAATGTTTGTATAATTGATCTTTTTATGGATCTTGGAAGCTTCGAAGAGTTCAACCCTAATTGCGTCCTTGTTGTGGTGTCTGATTGTGTGTCTCCTCAAACACCTTGCCTTCTACCTCCGCAAGGAATCTCATATTTACTTACTAAGTCAGTTTTTACTGTTGGTTAATGTGAATTAGATATTGATCATATTTTCCAATTACCAGATTTAAGGAGCTGTTAATAATGGTAGATACTTGCCAAGCTGCCACTCTGTTTTCTCAGGTGAATTATATTGAATTTCTTTTCACAAGATAAAGCATTTTGTAGGTATTTAGATCTTTGATGATTGTCTCATGAACTGCTTCATCTCTCTCTCTCTCTCTCTCTCTCTCTCTCTCTCTCTCTCTCTCTCTCACTCACTCACTCACACACAGACACACACACACACACACTTGTCAGGTTTTGGTGTGCTTGTGTGTTTCTGTGGCATAAAGTATACACAAGAACCAGTAACTTTTCTGATGCCTGAAACCAAGGCAAACACCATACTACTCTTTTGATGCCTACTCTTGCTTCAAACTCTCGTACCTATTCAGTATTTGGTGTGGTTGGCAATGAAATTTTTAACAAAAAATGGTGTTGTATTGAGGCCCTTTTCTTTTCAAGAAATCGAGTTTCCATAGTTTTGTTCTAAAATGAAAAAGGGAAGAGGGAAAAAATAATATTGCAGTTCGTGTTCATGGAACCATTCGGTCAACAAAATATTTTTGTCATCAAATGGATTTCAGCTAGTTTCACATTTAACGTAATGTCACTGAGTTTCCTGTTCCAGAAAATAAATGATGAAAGGAAAAAACAGTGTGATGTAAAATATATGTGATGTTGTCTTAAAGTCCAGAAGGTACAATGGTAGATAGTGGACTAATAATGCCTAGAATGAAGAGAAAAATGGGAACTGTTGAACTACACCTGGGATTATGGGAAACTTCTCATTGATATAATACAATTTACATTAATTACATTAACAGAAAGTAAAGGCAAAAGAACAATTATCTTCTCCTTTTCTTTTAAGCAAATGTGATGCACCTTTTTTGTATGCTTTCTGATTTACCATAAATGTTGCAACTCTATTTAGATTTTTTTTTTTTTTTTTTTT